CTGTTTTTCCCCCAACAAACTTGCATTTGAAAACAGCTATTGTCTATTCAATCATACCTCCACCCGTGTTGGGGAAAATAAATAAAGGCCAGGAGCTGACACAACTGTTCCACTCTTCTACAGATAATTAAATATCAGAGCTAAATTACGACAAGTAATGGAATCTGATGTGCATAGCACTTTTTATTTGCCTGTTATTTAGCTATTAATGCTTCCTTTTGATGAATCGGTTTCTTTGTCTATCACTCTCACATATGCAGAGAAATTTACTCAGCTTCACTGAAAAAGTCTCCTTTGCTAAGCATTACGGTGGGTGCTCCTTGAAAAAACAAACAAGTAAAGGATTAAGATTACAAGCCCCCCACCATGGCTGGCTGTAACCCTGCACGAGGCATTCTTCTTCAGTTACTGCTGGAGAGAATCTTAACCTCTCCAGATGATTCTAAGGAGGGTGGTGGACCAGCACTGACCAGGGACTGTGCATTTTTGTTTTCCCTGCTTCCTTCACCACTGTTTTGGAGTGAAAAACACCATCGCAAAAAGAAGGTCTTGCCTGAGAAATATGAAGTTGCCATTATTGATCTTAATTTAGTAATTTCAGAAAAAGCCACCTTCCATCAAAATTCATTCAAAGCTGCCTGTCAGTACAATAGAGCTTATGACATTGCTGAATAATACACTTGTATTATTTTCTGGGTTTTAGAATTCAATATGAAATTCTTTCTGAAAATACCTCACAACTCTTGACTTTTTTCCCCCCTCTGGAGAATGAAATTATTATTAGGTATTCTTTTACTTCAGGAAGAATGATACAAGGTCAAAGGGAAGGTGTTAGAATATTACAGACCTTTCTCAATGTGTCTGTGTTGCTCGAACCCTGTCTCACATCACTCCCCCTTTACGCACCCCAGGAAGGGACTCTGGGGGCACAGCTCCTGTGTTTTGCTCTGAGATCCTCAACCTCAGATATTTCTCAGTGGAATTTTCTGGTCTTATTCTGTGTAGCTGCACCATCCAAATAGAGAGTACTGGGAACATATTGGGGGGTGGGAAAAGAGAGATTGGAGAGGGGTTAACTGCTATTCAGAGCTGGAGGAAGTAACATATGCAATCATAAACTGGAATTTCTGTATCATGTTTGACCTCTGAGGGTACAGAAAAAGATGTGGGGTTCCTCTGCAACATTTATGGTTCAATCTCCGCTTATTTCCAGCCTTACCGAACTCCTGGTGTATGCCAGGCACTGGGCCAGGTAGCATGTGTGCGTGCGGTGGTAATGCAGGATGAACAGCAGACTATGGCTATGTCTTTTCGCAATCTATGGGCTTCAGGGTTGGTTCTGATTCATGGGGACAGAAGCTTAGGATCTAGAATAGGGGTCATCCAGCATGGGATCAAAAGGTCACTGTCCTGATTCAAAGTTAATATCTTCCTGTAGCAACCTTAAGTTTTATTTGCCTGATATTACTATCTCTACACTAGCTATCTGTTGTTTAGTATTTGACTAGGTACCTATTTTTCAATATCCATTTATTTCAGATTTCCTGGTCATTTTGTTTCAGTAATGTCTCTTTTGAGCAGCAGAGAGCTGGGTTTTTAAAATCTAATATGATAATCTATTTTAATTTTTAATTTTGATTATTTTGTATTTGATAAATAATGTGTAAGATTCATTTTGATATCTAATGGTATCTTTTTTTCCCCCCCTTTCTTTAGTGTAGCTTTTTTCTTTTCCCTCAACTTCTTTATTGCTTTTTATTAGATTGATGTTTATATTTTCTCCCCATTTTCCTGTTTCCTCTACTGGTTTAGAAACTATAGATCATATTTCTGTTCTTTAACAATTACCCTTATCCTCATAGAGCATAACATTTTAACCAATATAGTCATACATTTTAATTATATATTCTTTCTTATAAAATTTGAAGATGTTAACTATTTCTTTCTTCCTCTCATGGAAGAAAAGTACCTCAGAATGCTTTAATGCACTGATATTCTGTCTTCCACCTTTCTTGGAATAGTTGTCTGAACCATAATTTTCTGTTTTTTCTTTTCATTTAAAAATTTTATTTTATCATATTTGATGCATACAAAAGGATATAAATGTGTCATATAAATGTTGACATATCACCTTTTTTACTGAAAAGTTTAGTTTCTATACATTATTTCTCAGTAATCAATTATATTTCTTTTTTAGTAGGTTTTTTTTTTTCATGTGAGCACTGTGCTCTAACCAACTGAATTAACCGGCCGCCCCCCTCAATTGTATTTCTTAATACAGAGGTGCCAAAAAAATGTATACACGTTTTAAGCAAGGAAAAAACTATATTAAAATTGTATAAAAATACTCAGTATATGCCGATAACAAAATATCAATACAAGTTATGTGTATACATTTTTTTGGCACCCACGTGTATTTTATCTCTTCCTCTGCTTCCTTTCATTTCTTGCATCTCACTTCTTTCTGTGTTCACTTTTCTTCTTGCTGAAATTTATTCTTTATTCAATGAGGTTATAAATCTTATTAGTTTTACATATATGAAAATGTCTTTATTTTACTTCCACTCTTAAGTTATACTTTATGTAAGGAATGTTAAATTGACAATTATTTTCCTTTAGTATTTTAAAGTTATAATTTAATTATTTTCTGTTGTCTCTGGTTGCCATTAAGAAATCTGCTATCAATGGAATCATTACTCTTTATTGGTATTGTTCTTTTTCTTCCTTTCCAGTAATTTTGTAGATTTTTTCTGTGTTGTAAATGTTTTATTTTTGTTTGTCTCACTTGACACTGAGGGTATGCTTTTAATCTGAATACTTATGTCTTTCATCAATTCTGGAAAATTTTCAGCCATTTTCCTTCAAATATTCTTCTGTATCTTTCCCTCTTGTCTCTCTTTTGGAACCTCTTTTCAATGCATGTTAGAGACTTAATTCATCCACCTGTCTCTTAACTTTCTTTTTATAATCTGCCTTTTAAAATCTTTCTGTCTACTTTTTTTGGTACTGTCTTGTAAATCACTAATTTTTCTCACAATTTGTGTGGAATGGTTTACCTTCATGAATTAAATTTTTATTTAAATGATAATTTTATTACTCAGATTTGAAGAATTTGATCTATTCTTCATTCATACCTGCACTTTTTAATATTTGTTGTCTTTTTTTTTGTAAATAATTGCTTTCCTTATCTTATTTGAGGATTGAAAGCACACTTATTTAAAAGTTGTCTTGAAATTGTTCTGTTACTTGCTTTTTGTTGATAATGAATTGGCCTTCTGATTCGTTAGTGTGATGCTTACTCTGTCTCTATTAGCAGACCATTTTAGTTTCTCCCGTTCTATATATTGGAGTAACTGAAACTTGGTGAGGATTACAAAATGTAGTTGGATTCAGTAGCAAAAAAAAAAAGTGATTTAAATGTAGGGATTTAGAAGCATAGCTGTTTTCCCTTAGGCAGAAATTCTCTTTATTGCTGGTCAGTCATGGAAAATCATCCAGTGGTATTCTTCTCTTGACTGATTTGTTTTGGGGGCTCACCTGACTTTATTTCATAATATTCTTTACAAATACTTGCATAGAGGTAGAGGTGGGAGTGGGAAGTAGAGGAATTGGAGAAGGAATGTTCTTTTAAGGATTTAGGTAACCTTAACTGCATTAAGCATTTTGTTTAAAGAATTTTTATGATCAAATACTTTCAGTTTTGTGGTGTTTCATTTCTTAGTGTTTATTGAAAATGTCCCCAAAATTAACACCATAGAGTAAAATTTCCTTTTCGTTTTATGATAGGTTTGTAACCAAATTATTGGAAGACCTCATCTTCTTTGTCGCTGATGTACTTAATAATGGACAAGAAGTTCTGGATGTGGTTATCACTAAGCCAAACCGAGAACGTCAAAAATTAATGAGGGAACAAAACATATTGGCACAGGTGAATGTTTTCATGTACTAAATTTGCATATTTTATTTTTTTGAATTATAGTATCAGGAAAGCCCTTGTATTAGTTATCTATTGCTGTATAACAAATTACCCCAAAACTTAGTGGCTGAAAACAGCAGATACTTATAGTTTTTGTGGATTAGGAATCAAAAAGTGATTTAGGTAGACAGTTCTTACTTAGGGTCTTTCTCAAGGCTGCAGTCAAGGTGTTGGCTGGGGCTGCAGTCATCTCAAGGCATCAGTGGGAGAAGATTCACTTCCCAGCTCCCTTCCATGGGCCTCACCTCAGGGCTGCCTCAAGAGTCAGCAGCTTGCTTTCTTTAGAAGTGAGGGGTCCAGGAGAGGGCGCCCAGGTGGAAGCCACAGTCTGCCCCCTAATCTTAGAAGTAACATTTCAGCAGTTCAACTATGTTCTGTGATTAGTGAGTAGATAAATCCAGCCCATAGTCAAGGAGACAGGATTACATAAGGGTGTGAATTCCAGGAGGACAGGATCATTAAGGACTGTCATGGAGACAACCTATCACAGACCTCTAAAAAGCCTTTCAGGGTCAGACTATCTCCAGAAAATGTGCTGGAATAATTTTCTAGGTATTTTACAGGAGAATTTGGAAACTGCCATCTTTAACTGCTTCCTACTTCCTTCTCTTTCTCCCCTAGGAAAGTAGGGCAGTCTATTTATCAGCTTACAAGTACTTTGTACAATATTCTAGTTTTCTTTTTCTCTCTCCCTGAAAGTCTATAGCTGCTCCTAAACTATGTGTTTCTGAAATTGTTTAGGACACACCAGTAAATTAATTCATTTACTAATAATAAGCATATTTGAACATGACTGCTTTTATGCGTTCTTTTTGTTCTGTTAATTGTTATGTGAAGTAATGGGCTTCTGCATTCTTTAAGTGAGGACTCAAGGAAGATACTTAAATAAAAATTATGTTGTTAATATACATATTTTTGTAAAATTGGGAAAGCAAAACTATAGACATATTGTCAATGAATATTCTATAGCTGATTGTTTGAAAATATAAAATCAACATTTTTCTTGAGGAAAATAAAGGTTGCTAATCTAATGAGACAGAGTCCTTTCTGACATTAGCATTCCTTTTGTATAAAGCATCTGATTTCAAGGACTTTTAGGACCTTGAATGATTAATTAATATTATTTTGACCATGTTTATTTTAGAAACTTTTATTTCAGTATTATAAATATAAAATTCAAGGCTTAGTGGATATAGAATTATTGAAGAAACTTTTATTCATATTATAGTTAATGAACTACAAAGGAGAATTCCTTTCTACTTTGCTTTCTTGTAGTAATGCTCATGCTGTCTCCTAGGTATGCTTTCATAAACAATTTACTCATTCTACCAGCTCATCTCCAGGTGATCTCACCTCCTGCTTAAAAGAGTTATGTTCCTCAGTGCTTTTGAAATACATCCCAACCACCCACCTTCTTAATAGAAGAGTGTGGGTCACTGGGTATCACCAGTTGCCCATGTGGGTCCTTATGAGTTACATTTAAATGCTGATGCATTCATTGGTTTGGCGACATCTTTATGTATCAAGAACAATTAATTAACTGCTTTATAACGAGGTGTAAGAGCAATATTTGGAGGCGACTTTCTGATGTCAGGTTCAGATGAAAACAAATGTTTCTTCATATTATTTTGATTTTAGAAAGTTATAGAGACAATAATAAAGCCTATAGAAATCAAACTATATTGTAGTTCATCTGAATATGTTCATGTAACATGGTGCAACCCAACATTTTTATGTTTCTTATTTTAATAAAATATAATTTCTAAATAAAATTAAGATTTTATTTAAACAATGTTTTTGTCATTCAATTTAGGGACTTCTTTTAGAAATATTTTTCTGTTCCTTCATATCAGTATCCTAAAATCCGTTTTTTGTTTATATTAATTTTGTCAAAGTGTTTTTGAATCGATGTGCTTATTTAAAAAAAATTAAAACAGATTGCAAAACATGTACCTCCGTTCATGAGAATAGATGTTGTTTTTGTTTTTTTTTCCTGATAGGTATTTGGAATTCTTAAAGCACCCTTTAAGGAGAAAACAGGAGAAGGCCCAATGCTGAGACTTGAAGATCTGGGGGACCAGAGATATGCTCCCTACAAGTACATGCTGAGGTTATGCTACCGCGTGCTGAGACATTCGCAGCAGGACTACCGGAAAAACCAGGTGGGAGGGTGGTGCTTGTTATTACCTCTGTTTAACATTTAGAGTTTGGGCAAGGTTCTTTGGTTACTGTTCTAGAACATATAAAATAGGAATGGGAAATTCCACTCTCCAGTGAAATACTTTATATTGGTAACACACAAAACTGACCTGTAAGTACTTTTGACACACGAATTTATCCCTCCATGCAAAATTAGAATCCTTGGGGGAGTATATCTGAGTCCTTCTCTGTACATGGTATTCACTCCTGCTGGTCGAGAGGCGTGCTGGATATATAAAGAGAAATGAGACATTTCTTGGCATTTCCAGGAACACGTGAGGCACTGCATTGTAATGTAAAAGCCAAAGAGTTCATTGTCTTGTGGAAAAGATATGACATATGCATCTGAACCATAAGGGGGACATAAGAGATGAAAGAGAGCATTATAGGAATTCGAAAGAGGGAGAGCTTAGTTGTGGCTGGGGGAACCCAGGAAGGGTGCTTGGAGGAGGACGCATTTGGATAGGATGAGAATAATTTTCATAAATTGTACAGGAATAGGCATTTTAGCAAAGAGGGATCTATGAAGAGAGAATGATAGATGCTATAAAGGGCATTTTTATCCAAAGACATGCCTAACTGCCAGGCGTATCTAGGGACATAGCTGAAAGTTGCCAACTGCAAGTGTAGTTTCTTTTAAGTCTCATTTTTACCTTAAAAAATGTGATGTTTTGCACTGTGTTCAATAATATACATCTTGGTTTAATGTTAAACTAGTGTGCCATGTTTCTCTTAGCCAGGCTGAGAGATGTGTGCATAATCAGTACATTTTGCTGATGAGTTCGGTCCATGAGGAAGGATGGTATAAAAGAGGACTCGTAAGGCAGGTTAGGCTAAGCAATGTAGGGCCCAGGATGGCAGCCTGGAGGGTGGAGGTTATTTGGGAATAGTTCATAGTGTTTACTGAATGCATGCTTTGTACCAGGCTTAGCTCTAAGCCCTTTTACAATTTAACTCAGTTAATACTGAGTTAAGATGAGGAACTGAGGCACAGAGAGTTCAAAAAAGTTGCCAAAGATTACACAGTTTTCAGACTGGAGCCAGTGTTCAAACCCAGGCGCTTAATCATCACAGTATTTCCTCTTAGTAGTTTGAAAGTGTTTTGGCAAGAAGAAAAAATTTGCTTTAAGAAAAATGTGTTAAAAAATACATTGGCTTTGAAAATTCTGTTTAAAGATTAAGAAAAAGGTCTAAAAAAGAATACGTAAAACAGATTAATCAGAAGATAAATAATATGGCAAGGAGCAAGAGAGAGGAAGGGGACAATATAAACGAATCCTTAAATACTTTTTCATGTAATCCTAGTTATAAACATCCTTCTTCACAGGTGAAAATGCTGTCATTGGAATTATTTTTCCCAGCTTCACTGTATTCCTTTAAGGTGTCAGGGTAAGCTAGGTAGAGTTGTTCTTATTTTATTGGAAGAAAAATTAAGTTCCCGGATGTTAAATATAGACCTTCAAGCACTCAGAACCAGTGTCCTAGAAGCCCCCAAACGAGGGCCTATGTCATTACATGGAGGTCTGGCACGGAGGTGGGGGGTAGAGGTTGTTCAGTGTTCTCCACTTGGCCTTGTTTCTCTTCTTGGGTCTGCAAAGATATGCTTAGCTAGACAGGCCACCACTCAAACATGTAAGCAATGCTGTTATTAGAGAGCTTGAGTTAAGGGAAAAAAACCAACAGATGTACGGATTGGCCTGGCTTTCTCAGTCCCTGGGCCCACAGTGTGCGCCATCTTTGTGCTCAGCCTTTGGAAGGACCCTGGGATCCCCCTTTCTACAGCACTGCCCTGTGCTTCGGGGTCAGTCACCTTGGGTTTGGTTGTTCTGCCAGCCTGGGCAGCACATCTTAACTGGTGTCCTTTTTCTGTCTGTCAAGGTGTAGCACACAAAGTTCTTTCTCATTCCTCTCAGTCTTAGCTGGGGACTCATGAGCCTACTGTGCTGAGGTATGTGCAGTTTCTCCTCTGAAAACACTTAGCCTTTTGACAAATAGCATCAATCTCTCTCTCTCTCTCTCTCTCTCTCTCTCAATTTTTCCTCTCCTAGTTCACTCTACTTAGGCACATCACTTCTCCAGGTAAATGTTTATTCACTTTGGGGGAAGCTGCTTTCCAGTTTCTTTAGAGCATATGACTGTGGGTAGCCAACTCTTTCTCTCTTTTGGGATGTCTCCCTAAGACATAGATCACTGAGCTGACAGAAGAAAACAGAATCCCCAGCGGTCACTGAGGGTTAAGTTTTATTTTGCCTCATGTTCTTGTGCATGCTCCAGTTGAATCTCAGTGATGGTTGAAAAATAGTTTCCTCATTTCTGTTGAATTAAGAATGCTTTGTGTTAAGCATTAAGCAGCTTTCTGATGTTTTTAGAATGTGATTTTAAAATGTAAGCAGAACTGCTTTCTACTCTTGCATAATTACCTTGTTTTCCTATATCTGCACCTATATTTTATAGCATCCTAATAGGGAATTCTTTTGTGGTTTAGCACTAACCCAAGCCTTTCATATTGAGTCTCTGTTTATTATTATTTATAGAATTTGGTAAAATTTCTAATTTCTTTTGATTTTTTGTCAACATCTTGATCTATTTATCAAACATCCTGTAGGTTTTTCTTATACTACAGCATGATTACAATAGTCATAAAAGCGTGTAAATCAATACATATCTTTAAAATGATGCACTAACCAAAGAATTACCTTACTTAACTCGTTATCTAACTTAAAGCCATCATTTTTAAAGGCAACAAAATTGCTGCCTAGAATATAATTAGATTTGTGCAACCAAATATCATTTTCAAGGAATAGGTAAATTCCAGTTAAAAAAAAAAAAGGCAAAGCCGCTTTCTAATAGATAAATTTTCCCAACTTCATAACAGAGATACATCTCCAAGGAGAATCTCCAAGAAACTGCAGTGAAAACTTTTTGATTGTGGAGGGGGTCAGGTTTGACAGTTTTATGGTTGTGTGAGATGTTTTGCTTGTACACGGACTGTGGGAAATGAGTAATGGTGGCTGGAATATGGAAGAGTTAGAGGGAAGAATGAGGAGCGCCTTAAATAATGCATGGCTGAAACTCCCCAATGGCTTTCTCTTGCTGTTTAAAATCACCTTGTCCTTTACCACGGCTCCCAAGGATCCATCTCTCCAACCGCAGCTCTTGCTGTTTCCTCACTTACTAGACTCTGGTTGCAGTGGCTGCTTTTTGTTTACAGGTCACAAAACACTTGGTTCCACGACCACAGAGCCTTTGTACCTCCTGCTGCCTAGATGGCGCCTCTCCCTGTGCTGCCTCCTTTTCATCATTTCCATCGTTGCATCATTTTAATCATGGGCACCCTAACTCAGATACCACTTCTTCCGCCGCCTTTCTCCGTCCCTCTGTTTGTTTTGTTTCACTTATCAACATGGAACATGATCATATTTATGAGTTCATTTACTGCCTTTTTTCTCACTAGATGGAAGCTTCATGAAAACTTATTTATCTTGTTTACTTCCACATGCCCATTCTCTCAGTGTCTGGGATGCTGCAGGTTTTCAAGGGATCTTTATTGGATAAATGGATTTGATCAATAAAGTGTTTAATCTTATTATCTTGTTTGATAGCTTTTTAAAGGTAAAAAGTGATATGAAATTGTATCACTATTTTGAAGAGAAGATTGAACAGACCAGTGTGGTATAGCGTACAAAAAAGAAATCACCTACGTTTATCTGGGCTCTTCATGTAACAGTATAGATTCCATGCCTCATAAACAAAATATCACAGTTATCGTCTTTCTATAATTATGCTAAAATCATCAGTTATGACTTTTAATGAGTTAGAAGAAGGGGCTCTGTTAGGGTGGTGAAATCCTTTGTTTTAATGACATAAAAATTGTTACTTTAACTAGGTTTATTTTTGTTTTTCCCACTTACACTTCAAGAGTGCCAGCACCCACATTAAAAAAAAAAATTTTAGGGACGGCCGAGTGGCGCAATGGTTAAGAACTGGCTTGGGATGCCAGAGGGCCCTGGTTCGGATATGAGGACCACATACGAGGGCCAGTGACACTGCCCTCCACAGCTAAGATGCTGAACAACAGCTCAACTTGGAGCTGGTCTGCCATGAGTCGCTGGCGATGGCATAGGCTGCAGCCCCTGCTGCAGTGGGTTGCCATGGGCTACCGTGTGTAGCCAGCAGCCAGCGTGAGTGGCCAGCAGCTGCAGTGAGCGGCCATCCAGAAGCCGGTGACTGATCTGCCTCACCCGGGAAGAGCGCAATGATGGTGCCAACTTGGGCCAGTGAAGCAACGCCCTCCACAACTAGACTGAAGAACAAAAGGACAGCAACTTGTCTGTTCCCCTTCCCCCAATTCCCCAGCACTGTTCCCATCCCCCAATTCCCCAATAAAAATCTTAAAAAAAAAAAATTCTAGCTATATAATTTTTTTATTATAATTTAAATTGGGTTTAGGTTAATATTTTCATTTCCTCCCTCAAAAAGTCCTATTTATTGAAGAATTATTGACTTGCTCTTTTTTTGACAATAGTTTTTAGTGAGTTTCCTGCTATGAGTAAACTAGTCAATGTTGCTGACCCTAATGGAACCTGTTATTTGTCAGCTGTTTGGCGGTGCGTTCTGACAGCCTTTCTTTCTTGCAGGAATATATTGCTAAGAATTTCTGTGTCATGCAGTCCCAGATTGGCTATGATATTTTGGCAGAAGATACCATCACAGCTTTGTTGCACAACAATAGAAAACTACTAGAGAAACATATCACAGCAAAAGAAATAGAAACATTTGTCAGTTTACTCAGGAGAAATCGTGAGCCAAGGTTTGAAGTGGTTCATACAGTATTCTTCTCTAGGGGGGATTGTGGCTTTTTGCTTTATTCTTAGAACTTTTTTTAAAGTTAAAATTCTTTCATATCCCTTCCATGGAAAAAACTATATTGGCCTTATTGCTATAATAATTATGCATAATAAAGAGTTATTACCTTATAGGAGGCCAGAAACCTTTCTAGATGTGTTTAAATGTAATTGATTGCCACGCTGATAACTTATATTTTTATAGTACTTTATAGTTTTAAAAAATGTTTTCATATACATTGTCTTATTTAAATCGTTGCATAGTCTCATGAAATACACTGGTAATAAAATAAAACTTTTATTTTAGTGGTAAGAAAATAAAAGTTGAGAGAACTGCATGCTCAATACATCCCCAGTAGTAAGGAATAGAATAGCAGGTAAATCAAAGGTTTCGGATTCCACATCAATTTCTCTTTCCATTGCACCATGCTGCCTTATCTGGGAGAAGTGAATGCAGAAAAGTCAAGCAGATACATAAAGTTTTCTTAACTAATTAGCTCAGCAGATAAATGGGCCTTTGACTTCACAGGGCCACACTCACCTTGATTAAGTGTGTACGGTATTCCTATTTTACTCAGTGTAACATTAGCTTTCATCTGCTTTTGTTTCAATATTCAATTCTGGGGTTGTCTCACTTTAGGGCAGATAAATGACTTTCTAAACATAATAAGTCATAGTGCTGTGAGATGAATATCACCAAATAAATAGAAGCAAATTTATATCCTTTTTTTTTGAAATAAAATTTGTATTAAATACAAATAATTTGAAGTTTGATTTGTTTCAAATGATGCAGTAGATAAGCAATACATTAGAAATATGTTGCATGGAAATAGTATTAAAATAAAGAGGGTGCCAAAAAGTGTATACACATTTTAAGAAAGAAAAAAACTGTATTAAAATTATACTACTCAATATATACCAATAACAAAAGATGAATACAGGTCATGTGAATACATTTTTTTTTTGGCACCCCCACATATCTTAAAAGTTACATTTGTGATATCCCAAAGTTTATTTTCCTTATGATTTTATAAAATGCTTTTTCTTAATGTTCAATTTTTCTTTTTTGCCAGATTCTTGGATTATTTATCAGATCTGTGTGTGTCTAATACCACTGCTATACCTGTAACTCAAGAACTCATCTGTAAATTTATGTTGAGCCCAGGCAATGCAGACATTCTCATTCAAACTAAGTAAGCCCAGACAATGGAGGCATCATTTTCTGTTCATTATTTGTAAGCATTGTAGTTCTTTATATTTATTAGTGAGCTCCCTAATAGATTTTGTATGTGTTATTAATTTCAAGACTGGTTTCAATGCAAATGGACAACCCCATGGAGAGCTCCATCCTTTCAGATGACATTGATGACGAGGAAGTTTGGCTCTACTGGATTGACAGCAACAAGGAACCTCATGGTAAAGCTATCAGGCACCTTGCTCAGGAAGCAAAAGAAGGCACCAAAGCTGATTTAGAAGTTCTTACCTATTACAGGTAAAGTATTACAGAGAATCGTAATTCTCAATCTCACATGTTCATTGAGAGAGATTCTCAACAAATCTCTAGAAGTCAGGTGTCTATGAAGAGGAAATTTAAAAAGTCATGTCATTACAAGGGTAGCTGAACTATTTAGTATTATTTAAAATAACTCAAAATAGAAATGAGCATCTGTGTCTTCCACGTATACCACTTGCAATTTTCTGATTTCCAGTTAGTTTGGAATTGTTGGAATTGTTGTGCAGCAACGCGTTTTTTCCTGTTGTTGACTGGAATGGGTGTCGATAAGGGACATGTTGGGAACCTACGTCATGGAGCTGAGAAACAGCTGGAACTGGGGCCGGGGAAGCTGATCCAGCTGCAGGGGTGGCCTCAGAGAGAGTGAGCCGGTAGTTTATAGCATACAGAGCGTATGAACATGTGGACCCCTAGAGCTTAAGAGAAACTGTGCCTGTAGTTATGGAAGTTCAGCAGTGGCGTATGGCAACAGAAGTTCTGATGGTAGCTCCTGGTGGTCAGCATACTGGGAGCAAGAACCTAGCTGGTGTCTTTGAATTTAAGGCATGGAAACCCAAGGCAGAAGCCCTTGGGCCCAGTTGGGCCCAAATGACAGGCATCTGAGAAAGGCAGAGAATGCCCCCTGTTCCCTGGCTTCTACAGCTCCAGCAACAAAGCCAAAGGCTAATCTTGATCTCAGAAGCTGGTGAATCCAAGTGTATACGGATGCCATTTGGATTGGTCACATTTGGTTTGGGAACTGAGTGAATCTAAACTAAGAGTGTAGATACCACAGCCCAGAGCTGAGTAGGACAGGAGAAGGTGGAGAGAGATGGCTTCGTGTGAGTTGTTATCCGTGGCCTTCAGGGTTCCTGTATTTGTAATCCTAGGAAAGCTAGACTGGAGAGCCTAATGACCCTCTCCACCAGAAACATGTTGCTGGAAGAACTAAGGGAAATTGCAACTGAATGGGAATAGAGACAATTTTACATGTGTGTTGTTGATTATTTAGCCTATTACCCAAAGAGCTTGGCTCCAGTATCACATACATTTGAAAATATTAGCATCATAAAAGTAGGTACTGACTGACACTATGATGCTTCAGATCAAGACAAGACAAATAATGTAATGTGTTTAATATCTTTAAGGTACCAGTTAAACCTCTTTGCAAGGATGTGCTTGGATCGCCAGTATCTGGCCATAAACCAGATTTCGACACAGCTCTCTGTGGATTTGATCCTACGGTGTGTGTCGGACGAGAGCCTGCCATTTGACCTCCGCGCATCTTTTTGTCGCCTCATGCTCCACATGCATGTTGACCGGGATCCCCAGGAGTCCGTGGTGCCCGTTCGCTATGCCAGGCTCTGGACAGAAATCCCCACAAAGATCACAATTCATGAGTATGTTTGAAAAAATTTCTTGAGGACTTTACATTCAGCAGATGAACTCAACCCAGCAGATGAACTCAAAATTAAATGTCATTAATTTTGAAATGAAATATGTGGAAAAGCATTTCTGTGTTCAGACTCAGGTTGTTAATCTTCCAAATGCAAATAAGATACCTTTTGGAAAGTAAAATGACAACTTTCGGTAACAGAAACATCATTCTGGAAACCGATAAACAAATCATATTAATAAAAGCGTAACAATTTGTTAAGTGCTTAATATTATGGTAGACCTTGATTTAAGTGCTTTACATGTATTAACTCATTTTGCAACAGCCCAATTTTACAGATGAGGATACAACATCTACAAAGGTTAATTATTTTACCCAAGTGTAAAAGCCAGGAGATTAAAGTATGTATTATATATTTTCTTATTTTCAAATGATGACTGTCAGTTGAACTTGCTTTATATTCTATCTTTCCAGATATGATTCTATAACAGACTCTTCCAGAAATGATATGAAGAGGAAATTTGCACTGACAATGGAATTTGTTGAAGAATACTTGAAAGAAGTTGTAAATCAGCCTTTTCCTTTTGGGGATAAAGAAAAAAACAAACTGACATTTGAGGTATTTTTTAAAAAAGAATTCATTCGTGATGTTATTCAGTTTTCCCTATCAAAAATTAGATACATTGAGTATCAAAGGTTTTTTCCCCTCAATTATTTAGGATGTTTTGGTAATTGGGTAGTTTGGTTCATGAAGGTATGATTCCCTCTGCCATTGATTAAAAAATAGATTTGATGTTTTAATTATAGCTGATGTCCAATATAAAACATTTATAATTATCTGTTAGCTACTTTTTCCTTGATTTTGGGGGTTTCATTTCATCTGTGTAAGCTTTGTTGCACTCAATGAACAAAGACAGTTTTGCATATTTACAATATGCTTGGATACATTTTCTTTCCTCTCCATGGAGGTGATGTTTTTAGCCTCATTAAACTGAATTGAATTACCTCTACTTATAATATCATTTGGGGGATATAGTGACAACACTAGGCTGTTACTTGATACCTGGTATATTTGCTACCTACAGGTGTGTAACAAATTACCCCCAACTTAGCAGCCCAAAGCAACAATCATTTAGTATCTCAGAGTTTCTCTTGAGTTAGGAATCTGGGAGTGCTTAGTTGGGAGATTCTGGTTCAGGGTCTCATGAGGTTGTGATCAAGCTGTCAGCCGGGTGGTAGTCATCTGGAGCTAGACCATCCACTTCTAAGCTCACTTATGAGGTTGTTGGTAGCCATACTTTCTTGCTGGCTCTTGGCCAGAAACCTTATCTCCTTGCCAAGTGGGCGTTTCCATAGGCTGCCTGTGTCCTTATGGCATGGCACCTGGCTTCCCCAGAGCAAGCCATTTGAGAGAGAGAGCGAGAGAAAGAATCCAAGATGGCAGTTGCAATCTTCTGTAACCTAATCTTGGAAGTGACGTGCCACCACTTTTGCTGTATTCTGTTGGTCACACAGACTAACCCTGGTGCAAGGAGACCATACACTGGGGGCTATCCTGGAAGCTGGCTCTCATACCTAGTATGTCTTGCAGTATCCAGAAGAGCACAAAGCAGCATAGGGAACATATACTTCTGGACAAATTTTATGGATAATATCCATTTTTTAAAGTAATTCATCAATGTAACCATTAAGTAAGTGATATCCTAATGACTTATTTAAGTTAATATTTAATTAAGAGGTAAATCATTCTAATGTAAATGTTTTTTTAACCACCTTGGTACACCTAAAATCTTGTCTTCTTGCTTCCTTGCTGGCTGTTGACCAGACACAAGATCTTCTTGTCACGTGGGATTTTGATAGGGTTGACCAACTAGTCTTATTTGGATTTAATTCTAAACTTGAATAAATCAGAGTTCAGTGGTTACTTTTGCAGGTATTTTAATTCCTAGGTGTTAAAGAATTAGAAAATTTAGAAATACCTGCCCAAATTTAGATAATGAAATATCAATGCTAATTTTTAGTTCCTAATGTTTTTCTTTTCTTGTCCACCTTCCCCCCTTTTTTTGTTAAGGTGGTCCACTTGGCTCGGAATCTCATATACTTTGGATTTTATAGTTTCAGTGAGTTATTAAGGCTCACAAGAACACTACTGGCTATCCTAGATATTGTACAGGCCCCCATGTCATCATATTTTGAAAGATTAAGCAAATTTCATGATGGAGGTAAGAATTTTTGAGATAAGTTCTAATCTTTTTGGTATTGTTTAGAGGTGAGATAAAAACAAATATATAGAGACATGGCTAATGTGTAACTGCTAATATATGTGTACAAATGAAAATTAATCCTATGGTGGGGCTGAGTGATAATAGGCTGGATTTATTATACAAACATACTTCCCTGTTCTTAATGCTAACGCTTTGAGAGACAAATTCGTAAGGTCAGTGAGTTCCATTTTTAGCAAATAATGTTATGGCCAATCCACCAGTGAAAATACTATTGTTGGAAAAATAAAAACATCTTAATATTTGTGATCACCCTGGTATGTGTCATAGGCTGCCTATGCTTCATAGCAAAGCACAGAAAAATGCAGCTAATGGGGCCACTCAGGGTCACGCCAGAGGAACAGTGAATGCAAAGTCAGTGTGGGAGGCAGTACAGTGAAGTGGAGAAGAGAATGGGCTTGTGGGTCAGAGCGCCTGTGTTCAAATCCTGCCTTTACCATTTAGTAACTTGGGTAAGGTGCTTATCTTTTGGAAGAGTTTCTTTTCTCATCTGAGATATAAAGATGATAATAATAGTATCTCCTTCAGAGTTCCTTATGATAATTAAGTGACTGTATACAACATATTCAAAGTACGTACAACAGTGCCTGTCTCATAACTCAATAAAATTTTTTTGATTGTCTTATGTCGGATGCCCGGGAAGTCCCCTGAAGTAGAGAATTATTTGCAAAAGGTATATTGAAGAGTGCATTCAGGATATACACGTGGAAGGCAGTGGGGAAGCTAGGATTGGGCAGACAGAGAAGCTGATCCACAATGCAGTTGTATCTGAGACTTCAGCCGATCCTACAGGGACCTCTGGAGCTGGGAAGGCCCTTCAGAGTGGAAACAAATGAAGGCAAGGGGACTGAGCTTTAGATCCTTGCATCAGCCAGCTATGACCGCTGGCTTCATCGTGGAGGGTGCATGCATCTTGGGTAAGGCAATACCCCTTGGGGAAGGGTCATGTTTAATGACGGCTGTGAGAAGTTGGCAGTCATGATGCCCAGCACCTTGGGTAATAGATACCTCAGCTCTGAAAAGGGGATATGGGTGGAGCACAAGGTATCCACTACAGTATGCGCTACAGACTTAAAAGTAAAAGCAGGAAGAAGTAATATCTGGTGAAGAAGTTTTCTTAATTGTTAAGTGAGGAACATCTAAATAGCTGAAGCAATTGCTGCTGCTTAAATCAGAATTCCTTCTACATCTTCCAAAATATGTACAGATCAACAAGAAGTAAATTAAACCACAGAAATCCTTCACCTTCAGCAGAACCAGAAGACAGAGGACAGTGCAAACTTCAGTTATTGTATGTAGAAAAGTCACATCAGTATTCAGTAGAGCTGTCTCATGAGCTCTCACTGCAAGTCTTTATGGGTAGTGAAGGGTTTCTGGAAAAACTGTGTGGAAGGGACAAGTTGGGATTGTGGGAAAATCACTCTCAGGAAGAGAACGTTTATCCTAAGTGTGAAAATACTGAAAGAGAATCCAGGTAGATAGAAGAGCACTGAGTGAAGAGGAAGGGGCTTAAATGGGAACAGTAATAGTGTGGAAACGCAATGGTTCTAGGGACGAACAAGGTAAAAATAAGGGAGAAGCACCCTTTGGAGTTCTGTAGATGAAAGGAAAAGAAGTAAGGTGGAAAATTTAAGATACCACAAGGTAAAAGAACAAAAAATTGAGGGAAGTATATAACCTGTCCGCTGCCCCCCAGCACAAGCCAAACTAAAGAAACCGCACTTCACAACTCAGACAGGAGAGGGTGCCCTTGCACTAAAGATCATGTAAACCAGCTCATATTGTCAACCTTGTCCAAGATATGAAGTGACTATGAGATCACTGATACGAAGTGACTATGAGATCAAAATAGAATGAGGAATCAAAACATTTCAGTTGATGGAAATTCCTGTTTGGAAAGCATCCATGAAACAGAAGAAAATTGTAACATGACACCCGAAACTGAATTAAATGTCTTCAAACAAACACTGGGATATGAAAAACACCTTGCATCACAAATTCAGAAACTAAGGTTAGAAAAAAGAGGAAGAAATGAAATTAAAGTTGCTAGAACCCATAAAAGAAATAGAATAAAATGGTAGACTTTATTTATTTTTAGAAATACAAACTAAATTAGCAGATATCAAAGGGAGAATAGATTTGCCAGAAATTTAATAAGAACCATTGAAGAAAGGCAGGCAAACAATGAGGAGAATGTCCGTCTTATAAAGAAACAAGTAAAAAGGGTCAGAGAGAAAGTGGTTGAGATGGAAGAAAGGCAAAGAAGAGCCATCATGTGAATAATTGGAGTCCTTGAAGAAAAAAAACAACAACAAACGATGGAACAGATCTGATATTTAAAATTACAGTCCAAGAAAACATTCTATAAATAAAAAGATAACCTTAATTCTGCATGGTGAAATTGTCCAGAATGGCAATCTCCAAACATAGCAGAATAAAACTATTATATATAGTATATTTTCAGAGAGAGTGGTGAGGGGGAGAGAGGGGCACTGTGAAAGCAATGGAAAAAAAGGAAAGGAAAAATGTTTCCTGCTATGATGCCTTTACAATCTCCAGTTTACTTTAAACTAAGCCATTCTTGAAAAGTTAGAAATTGATCTTGACGTTTGGTCTCAGTGCTTAGAGTCTGCTTTCAGCGTTGTTCCCTAAAGAAAATATTTTCATCCTCTGAAAATTTGCTCATATTTTGTATGTATTCTTCGCTGTCCTATCCACATCTGCCCTCTAAGACACATTGTTTTACTCTTTTTAAAATATTTTATAATTCCCATGTTTTTTCCATTCAATTCCATTCACCTCTGGATATCTTTATTTCAGCTGAGAACAAATTAATTAATTTGTTCAATAAGAATTTATCAACTATTGCATATCAGACACTATTCTAGTCACTGGGAATAAACAAGGAACAAGATAAAGTCTTTAGCCACAAGGAGGACACACAATAAATAAATAGGCAGACCTCTCCCACGGGGGAGATGATCAGGTAATAAACAAATGGATATACCCTATAACATCAGGTAATACAATGCTATGAAGAAAAATAAAGTAGGAGAATATGCACAGTGATAGAGTAAGGGAGGGGCAAGTATTTTTAGCTACAATGGATTGAAAAACTTCTCTGACATTTGAGAAGAGACCTACATGGATCAAGGAAGACAGCCCTGAGGCAGAGTAAGCTTGATATTGTATGCAGAGCAGCCAGAAGGCCATTTTGGCCGAGGTAAAGTGAGAGAAGGGGAGAACAGTAAGAGAGAAAGTTGGAGAAACCCAGATTGTGGAAGCTCACAGACCTTGAATTTGAATTTTGTTCTGAGTTGGATGGGCAACCTTTGGAAGGATTTGAGAAGGGATTGATATGATTTGATCACTTTGATGAGTGGAGAATATTTGTGTGGGCAAAATGTTAGGAAGACCAATAGTTAGGAGGCTATTGGAGAATTGGATAATGGTATTGAACTAGGATAGTAGTGATAGAGGTGGTAGGAGGTGATTAAATTTGGAATTTTGCAATCTTAGTTGATAGGAGTTAGTTATGAAATGGGAAAGAAAGAGAATTAAAGATCATTCCTAAGTTTTGATTAGCAGTTGGGTGAATGGTACTATTTATTGAGGTGGGACAGGCAAGTGGATGAATGGGGTTAGAGGGAGCATCAGGATTTCTGTTTGGGCATGTTAGGTTTTAAATGACTGTTAGGCATTCAAGTGGAGATGGAATGCCAACAGTTGGATATATGAATGAAACTTAGGGTAATGTCAGGGTAGGAAATATAAACAGAATCAGTGCACAGAAGCGACACTCAAGATACCAGACTGAAGAAGATCACCTAAGGAGTGATGGCTGATTGTGAAGGAATGCGGTCTAATGATTAAATCTTGGGGACACTCCAGTATTGAGCCATGAGATAGAGGAGGGGCCAGCGAAAGACTGGGATAGAGGGGCTGGTGAGGAAAGAGGAACATTAGGAGAATGTGATGTCTTGGAAGCCAAAAGAAAAGCAACGCTAGAAAATTTAACTTGTTTGTTGGTTTATATAAATATCCTTCTTCCTAGACAGTGAGTAGTCATTGAGCACTCTGTGTGCTAAGTGGTTGTACATGGGTTACCTTCCATGGAGCTTGACTTATGCTTAGCCATGACACACGCTATTTTAATCCATTATTAAAATCGGAAACACCGTAATTTTAGTCCAGTATTAAAAATGGTTTATGATAGTTTGTATTAGCCAATTGTAATTCTCTAAGAAACTTCTTGTGTTGATAGGAAATACCTATATACGTTCTGCATGAACCTAAATTCAGATGTTTCTTCCTTTTGTGACTGGTATATAGAGCAGTGTCTCTTCATTTGGGAAAATGCATTTTCCTGAGCTGTAGAAAGGGGTTGGTGGATTCTGGCTAGATTTTTTGAATTTGAAAGAATGTGCTTATCCTCCTATACTGTAATAAATACACAAGAAATAATGTTATTCTAGTTCTTGGTGTATTGAAACTAATTTGAATTTAAGGACCATAGGTTTTAAGATCACTTCTCTTGATATCTGCAAATCAGAGAGTAAATTATTTCTTGTATATATTCCTAAGATTGAGTACATGATGAAAGCTGTGAGAAAATATAGTTTGTTGTTTAAGTGGGATTTGATGACAATTTTAAGTGTACTACAGATGATACACCTGAGAGAAGTTGTGGTGGTGAGCTTTCTTCATTCCTCTCAACCCTATAAGTCCTTCTCAAGGCATCATTTTTGCTCTCACTAACATTAAATGCTTATTTAGTATTATTCACTCACATACATTTGAAAGGGACATGCTTTTATCATTAAACATTCCATTTTAGATTCTTTTGGAGCATATATATATATTTGTAAGACAAAATAATACGGTGCTACATTTTTGTCAATGTTGCCTTGAAGTACATTTGAAAAAGTGAATATGTGGCT